AAAGACAAGAATTTGTGACTTAAACACGTGGCACATATAATGTTACAGTTATTTATGAAATCACTTGTGTTTTATTATAATATGATAGAAATAGGAAAAAAATCGAATATCGTTTTGCTCTGATTTTGCTTTAGATTAAAGTTTGGGAATTTTTCTAAGAAAATGAATATATAGTATCTAAATTTTTTTTTAGAAATCGTTAAAAATTTCCGTTAAAAATCGTTAACTCATAAGAATAATTAATTATTCCGTTTTCTAAAGTATGAGTTAACGGTTTTGAACGATTTTTTTTTAAATATCAAACAATATCTAACTAACCCTTTTTCCCGCGCAACCCTATAATTCAAACTTTCGTTTTTTTTCGAATCGGTAATAACAATTTTTTTCCATTTATCACTCATCTAAATGATTTTGTATTTATGCTATCTATTTAATCAACTATATAATTGATAATTTAAGCCTAGTTTTGTGTTTTGAAATAAATCAAAATGCAAAAAGAGAAATTGGTTTTGTATTCATGCTCTTTATTCTCTCTTTAAACCCAATTTTTTTCCCTTTTACGACATTTGAATGTTTTCGTTTTGATAAATTGAATGTTTTTGTTTCTTGTTGAAAAAGGAGAAAATAGTAGAGAAATATGAAAATTAGTGTAGAGAAGTAAAAGACAAGAATTTAGGACTTAAAACACATGGCACATATATAGTGTTGCAGTTATATGATTTTGTTTTGTATTTAAGTTTGGGAAATTTTCTTAAAAAAGGAATTTTTGAAATCTAAATATTTTATAGACATTTTATATTTAATAGTTATCCATATAATTAAGAAAATCTCAAGTTTATTGCATGTTTTTTAAACAATAAAATTAATAGTTATTATTTTTCTATAATTTACTTTCGTAGTGTTAATCTATAATAACAAATCTTGTTAAGTTTTCGTTAAAAACCATTAACCCATAACAATAACTAATTATTTTTTTTTCCACAGTATCAGTTAACGGTTTTTTGTAAAATATCAAACAATATCTAACTATCCCGTTTTTTTCTTCCCGCGCAAACCTATATTTCAAACTTTCATTTTTTTAAACGAATCGGTAATAACAATTTTTTTTTTTCATTTCACTCATCTAAATGATTTTGTATTTATGCTATCGATTTAATCAACTATATATTTGATAATTTTAAGCTTGATTTTATATTTTGAATTAAATCAAAATGCAAAAAGAGAAACTGGTTTTGTATTCATGCTCTTTATTCTCTCTTTAAACCCATATTTTTTTCCTTTTACGACCATTTGAATGTTTTCGTTTTGATAAGTTAAATGTATTTGTTTCTTGTTGAAAAAAGAGAAAATAGTAGAGAAATAGAAAAACTAGTGTAGAGAATTTTCGTTAAAAACCGTTAATCTATAACAACAAATCTTGTTAAGTTTCCGTTAAAAACTGTTAACTCATAACAATAAGAAATTATTCTGCTTTTAGAGTATGAATTAACGGTTCTAAACGGTTTTTTGTTAAGTATCAAACAATAACTAATTATTTTCGTTTTTTCGCACGCTATTTAAAATTTTGATAGTTTTTAAAAAATCGGTAATAATAATTTTATTTTCCATTTATCACTTATATAAATGATTTTGTATATCTGCTATCCGTCTAAGCAACTATATATTTGATAACTTTAAGCGTGATTTTGTATTATGAAGTAAATCAAAATGCTAAAAAAGAAACTAGTTTTGTATTCATGCTCTTCAATCTCTCTTTAAACCCATATTTTTGTCCTTTTACGGCCATTTAAATATTTTCTTTTTGAGATGTTGAATGTTTTTGGTTATTGTTGAAAAAAGAGAAAATAGTAGGGAAATAGAGAAAGTGTAGAAAAAGTAAAAGACAAGAATTTATGACTTACACATGGCACATATATAGTGTTGCAATTATTTGTGAAATCACTTGCGTTTGATTATAATAAAATAGAAATAGAAGAAAAACTGAATATCGTTTAATTCTGATTTTGTTTTGAATTTAATTTTGTGAAATTTTCTAAAAAATGAATCTCTAATATCTAAATATTTTTTAGACATTTTATTTTTAATAGTTATCCATATAACTAAGAAAACTTCAAATTTATTGTCGCGCTTTTTAAACAATAAAATTAACAATTATTATTTTTCTATAATCACAATCATCGCTTTAATCTATATCAACAAATCTTGTTAAGTTTCTGTTAAAACCCATTAACTCATAACAAAACTAATTATTCCGCTTTTTAGAGTATGAATTAACGGTTTTTAATGGTTTTTTGTTAAGTATCAAACAATAACTAACTATTCTGTTTTTTCGCGCGCTATTTCAAACTTTGATATTTTTTAACGAATCGGTAATAATAATTTTGTTTTCCATTTATCACTTATATAAATGATTTCGTATATCTGCTATTTGTCTAAGCAACTATATATTTGATAACTTTAAGCTTGATTTTGTATTTTGAAGTAAATCAAAATGCAAAAAAAAAGAGAAACTGGTTTCGTATTCATGCTTTTCAATCTTTTTTTTTGATGACTTTGGGTAAATCCTAGGTTTATGGAAAGGTCCAGACTAATCCCAGGGAGAAGAGCAGCCCATAGATATACTCTCTCTCCGGGTATGCAAATGGGTCGAAAGTAAGGACCCATATCCATGTGGGTATCCAAAGTAATGTGTTTTAGTTTCGCGTAGCAGGTGGATTGAACTTGTAACGTGTTGGCGTCACAAACCAGTCTCGTTACCACTTGACCACAAGACTCCGGACCAATCTCTCTTTAAACCCATATTTTTGTCTTTTTACAACCATTTGCATGTTTTCGTTTTGAGAAGTTGAATGTCTTTGTTTCCTGTTGAAAGAAGAGAAAATAGTAGAGAAATAAGAAAATTAGTGTAGAGAAGTAGAAGACAAAAATTTATGACTTAAGACTCATGGCACATCAATTATTTATGAAATCACTTGTGTTTAATTATAATAAGATAGAAATAGGAGGAAAACCGAATATCGTTTAGCTTTGATTATTTTTTTGAATTTACGTTTGGGAAATTTTATAAAAAAAATGAATCTTTAATATCTAAATATTTTTTGACATTTTATATTTAATAGTGATCCATATAATTAAGAAAAACTTAAATTTATTGTCGTACTTTTTAAATAATAAAATTTACAATTATTATTTTTCTATAATTACGTTCATCGCATTAATCTATAACAATAAAATATTGTTAAGTTTCTGTTAAAAACTGTTAACTCATAACAATAACTAATTATTCCGTTTTTCAAAATATGAATTAACGTTTATAACGGTTTTTTTGTTAAGTATCAAATAATAACTAACAATTCTGTTTTTTCGCGCGCTATTTCAAACTTTGAGCTTTTTTAACGAATCGGTAATAATAATTTTGTTTTCCATTTATCACTTAGATAAATGATTTTGTATATCTGCTATACGTCTAAGTAACTATATATTTGATAACTTTAAGCGTGATTTTGTATTTTGAAGTAAATCAAAATGCAAAAAAAAAAAACTGGTTTTGTATTCATGCTCTTCAATCTCTCTTTAAACCCATTTTTTGTCCTTTTATGACCATTTGAATGTTTTTGTTTTGAGAAGTTGCATGTTTTTGTCTTTTGTTGAAAAAAAAGTAGTAGAGAAATAAGAAAATTAGTGTAGAGAAGTAAAAGACAAGAATTTATTACTTAACACACATGGCACATATATAGTGTTGCAGTTATTAGTGAAATCACTTTTGTTTAATGATAATAAGATAGAAATAGGATGAAAACTTTGCTCTGATTTTGCTTTGAATTTAAGTTTGAAAAATTTTCTAAAAAATGAATTTTTAATATCTAATTTTTTTTAACATTTTATATTTAATAGTGATGCGTATAATTAAGAAAACTTCAAATTTATTGTCGTACTTTTTAAACAATTAAATTAACAATTATTTTTTTTTATAATTACGTTCATCACGTTAATCTATAACAACAAATCTTGTTAAGTTTCCGTTAAAAACCGTTAACTCGTAACAATAACAATTATTCCGTTTTTTCAAAGTATAAATTAACGGTTTTTTTGTTGAGTATCAAACAATAACTAACTATTCCGTTTTTTCGGGCACTATTTCAAACTTTGATATTTTTTAACAAATCGGTAATAACAGTTTTGTTTTCCACTTATCACTTATATAAATGATTTTGTATATCTACTATCCATCTAAGCAACTATATATTTGATAAATTATTTTGAAGTAAATCAAAATGCAAAAAGAGAAACTGTTTTTGTATTCATGCTCTTCAATCTCTCTTTAAACCCATATTTTTGTCCTTTTACAACCATATACTTTTCAAGATTCTCCTTTCTTTTTCCGTTTCATCTTAGATAGTATCATAGTATGAAGGTTTTCCTCTTCATTTTTGCCCTTTAAATACGTATTTTTATTAATTATTAAATTAGATGGCTCAGTAATTGATAAACACTTTAAATAGGTTCAATGCACCTTCTTCTTCAATCAATTTTCTAGAACAAGAAACGTTTCTCTAAGGAAGCGTTTCTTTTATCCCTAAAATCCAAATCCGTCTCT